TCGGTTCGTAAATCTACGGCGGGAGACCTTGTACTGAGAAGAACCGGCAAGAAACTCAGCAAGGGCTATTTTTTTCTCCCTGTTTTGTTTCATACAGCGTCGTCTATTGAAAGATGACATCAGTATATAGAAAACTAGAATTTAATTATTTATTAATTAAGTTTATTCAAAGATAAATAAACGATCACATTTTAGAGAAAATTCTGGTGAAAGTTAAATTTTAATGAAATGGAGATTAATAAAACAGGATTAAGAGCGCTGCGAGCGACGTCTAGACTAGCGATTTCGTCGGATCAGATGATAATAATGAAAAAACATTATGCTCAGCGCAAAATTCTAGTTTGTAGAATTAATTATCTCAAACTGATAATTCAAACATCTTTGACTTGTCTAAATATCTTTCTTTAATTTGAGATCCACCTCAGGTTGAATATCAGACAGCAACCGAAAAAGAGCAAATTTTAATAGCAACGTATTAAGCACTGTGAGGAGCTCGATGGCGCAGGTGGTTAGCGCGTTCGGCTGCGATCGTTGAAATTAAGCAACTTCCGCAGTGGATGGGTGACCAAAAATTACTATCTCGAGCTCCTCCGTGCTTCGGAAGGCACGTTAAGCCGTTGGTTCCGGCTGCATCTGCAGTCGTTAGCACCCACCTATCCGCACTGGGCCCGCGTGGTGGGTCATGGCCCAGTCTTCCTATGCCATCCATAGTGAAGGCCTGTGCCCCAGCAGTGGGGACATTAATAGACTGATGATGATTAAGCACTGTAGAAATTAAGTCATTACTGCTTACGCATCAACCCGAGAAGCGTACGGAAATTCCCAAACAATCAACTTACCATTTAACTTGACCCCTGTTTTTTTTCTGATAACGTTAATTGGTATCATATATAAAAAAATATATATAATAATTATAATTTTTATTATTTTAAAGCATGTAGCTGCTTGATGTTTAAATCTAAAGAAAATATAACTAGAAAAAATTCCACGCTGACCAAGCAGCAGACGGGACTCGAACCCGCACCCTTCGCAATACGGGCGAATGCACTGATCAATTATGCTACCGCGGCCCTCACGGACCGCGTCGAAATCATTCTAGCTATTCTTAAGCTGCAAGGCAGCGCCATCTCTTTGCATTATAGGTAACCCACAATGTCAAATGAATACTTTTACAAGTATTAAACATTTGAAAGAAGAAATTTTGATAAGGATTCCATGAAAGATATAAATATTGATTAGGTATTCATATTCTCTTAGATTATCAAAATGATTTCCTTGTGCGACACTGACTTATTGATCATAACGAAAAAACTTAAAACTAAATTATACGCTTAAAAAAAGAGGTTAAAATTCAGAAATGGCAATAGATGAGAAAAGATTTTGACGTTTAAACGCCATATTCGTCTGAAGATTTCGACCTTATTGCAACGCGAATGTTCAAAATATATTTCAATGGAATAGATCCCATACTAAAGCATGTACATATCACAGTTCTGTGTGCAGCCGTCTTTGACATATTGGAGGCCCTAGGCATGTAAGGGTAATGGGGGCGCCATTGCCCCACTATGACCCTCGTTTGGTAATCTAACAGGAACTAGGGGCTTTATGTTTTTATTTATTTATTTTTAAGCATTTAACTGCTAGATGTTTAAATCTAAAGAAAAGTTTATATTATATTTGTTTCTTAGGTTTTCACGCACATCACTCATTAAATAAAACTAGTTTAAACGGGATAATGCACGAAACTTTATTTATTTATTGACGTTTCGTAGCCTTTCCAGGCTTCGTCGTCAGAATAAAACTTTTGTTTAATTTTGTCGAGCTACCTTCGAAAGACTTTTATTGAGCGTTTGGTTATTTCATCGTTCGATTTTTAAGTTTTATTGTCTATGTATGAATTTATTATTTAATTTACTTAATAAAGTATTTTATTTAAAATTCTTGTTTGTAATTTTGCGTTTATTTATTTGACCCTATCTCCTTCTTATGTTAAATTATGCATTTTTGTTTGCATAATTTAACATAAGAAGGAGATAGAAAGCCTCTCTTGAGTTTGTTTTGCCGGTTCTTCTCAGGAAGGTCTCCCAATTTTGGAACCGGTGGTAGTTTACGGTAGTTAGGGTCAAATAAATAAACGCAAAATTACAAACAAGAATTTTAAATAAAATACTTTATTAAGTAAATTAAATAATAAATTCATACATAGACAATAAAACTTAAAAATCGAACGATGAAATAACCAAACGCTCAATAAAAGTCTTTCGAAGGTAGCTCGACAAAATTAAACAAAAGTTTTATTCTGACGACGAAGCCTGGAAAGGCTACGAAACGTCAATAAATAAATAAAGTTTCGTGCATTATCCCGTTTAAACTAGTTTTATTTAAGTTTATATTATGTGAAAAAAGAAAAAATACGTGTCCAATACTTTTTGATAATCTACCTGATAAACGAAGAAAAAAAAATAGTCATCATCCCTATTGTTAGCATCTGTGCTTAGAATGAATATTGGCAAGGGTTTTTACTATTTTTACAAAAAAATATTCATAATTTTACTAAAAACCCACGAAAAAGATAATAGTTGTCTTATCTATTGTCACGTGACCCAAAACGCTTGGGATTGGCGGAGCCTTAAATGAATGACGTCACACGCAAGTAAACTTCCGGTTAAAGTGACATTACATTGTATTGTTTGACGTTTTAATAACAGTCTTGTGACGTCACACACTAGTATAAAGGCCATATTGTCCAGAGATACGTTTTCGCGGCAACTTGAAGATGGATTTTTTGATTTGGTTATTTTTACTGAAATACACAACAGAATGATGAATAGGGGTGATGACGGGGTATAGTAAACGAAATTCTATTTAGTCTGTCAATTAGATGATCAAAAAATAATGGACACGTATATTTTCTTTGGGCAATCAACCGAAAAATGACAAAGTTATAGCGAGTCAAAGTTTGGGAGTAGGGGCTGGTGACGTCACTTTTGAGTGAATTTTCCCTTATAAGTGTACGTCATGCGACTTTTCAAATCAATATATCTCTGCAATGCTTATATTATGTGAAAAAAGAAAAAATACGTGTCCAATACTTTTTGATAATCTACCCGATAAACGAAGAAAAAAAATTAGTCATCATCCCTATTCACTTTTTACGGACTCCATAAACATTAGTCAATAACGTGAGATCGTTTTCTAAAACTTGTCAAATACTATATTATAATTATTATTTACTTCGGCGCCGTTTACAGATTTATTATTAGAAAATAATGGTTCACGGTTTCTGCATAACGTTTATATTTATCAAATTAAATGTTTTGTTTAATTTTTATATTTGAGTTGTTTGAATGAAAGGTAAATAGCGGTTTACTATTTATGACGTATTAAAAAACCTACTTACTAGATCTCGTTCAAACCAAATTTCGGTGGAATTTTGCATGGTTATGTACATCATATATTTTGTTTAGTTTTATCATTCTCTTATTTAAGAAGTTACAGACACACATTTTGCCATTTTGGAAGTGTCTCTCGCGTAAACTATTCAGTTAAAAAAAATGATGTGGTGTTGTGGGACACCAGGTAGGAACGAAGTTTCTTCGGCTAATGTAGAATCGACACAAATTGCAAACTCGCTTGTGTATGCGACTGTCGCGCCTGCGCACGCCTCATTTAACGGTTTTATCCACGCACTTTTTTCCACGGATTTTTTCTTACGGTTTTACTATCACATTTTTTTCAATTCGGTCTCGCAGCAAAATCCCTATCCCCTCCAAGCCTGCCGTAAGGAACTTGCTTGTGTATGCGACTGTCGCGCCTGCGCACGTCTCATTTAACGATTTTATTCCACGCATTTTTTTTCACGGATTTTTTCTTACGGTTTTACTATCACATTTTTTTCAGTTCGGTCGCGCAGCCAAATCCCTATCCCCTCCAAGCCTGCCGTAAGGAACTTCGTTCCAAAAATTTAATGTAACTATGGGTGATATGGTGATCTAAGTATGGGGAACCCCCATTTTTTTTTCTTTTTTTTTGTGAGTCTTAATGCGATTCACAGAATACATCTACTACAGTATAGTTTTTATAGTTTCGAAATAAAGTGGCTATGACATATGGACGGACATGACGAATCTATTAGGGTTCCGTTTTTTGCCATTTGGCTACGGAACCCTAAAAAAGGAGTAATAATTTAGGACAGAAAAGGCATAGACTGTCACTAATGTTTCCGGCAACAGCATGATTACACCCAACTAATTAAATGTAATATCGATGGGTTCTAAGTGATAAGAGTTAATTGTCGTTTATGTCCGACCAATCCAGCAAGGATATATAGCGTAAATAGAGTGCATTTCACGCTTAATAGCGACTGTGAAGTTAGCGCAAGTCGCGGTTCAGTAAACAGAATGTAGAAAGAAGTCGGCGCGTGCAGATGGTGTTGCTGAACTGAACGTGTTCCCGCCTTCCTACAATCTGGGGTCCTTTAAGAGAGGCGTGAAGAAGCATTTTTGCAGACTGGCAATGGTTGGTGTGGCAGTTTATAACCAGCTATCTTCGCGTTTTGACTTTATCACCACTTAACATCAGGTGAGCTAGAGTCATTTGCCTACCTAATAAATTTGGCTATATAAATAAAAAGGAAAGGACGCTAACTTTTCATCATCATCATCAGCCTATTAATGTCCTCACTGCTGGGGCACAGGCCTTCCCAATGGATGGAATAGGGAGATTGCGCTATGACCCACCACGCGGGCCCAGTGCGGGTTGGTGGGTGCTAACGACTGCAGATGCAGCCGGGACCAACGGCTTAACGTGCCTTCCGAAGCACGGAGGAGCTCGAGATAGTAAATTTTCGGTCACCCATCCAATGACCGACCACTGCGAAAGTTGCTTAACTTCAACGATCGCAGCCGAACGCGCTAACCACTTGCGCCATCGAGCTCCTCGCTAACTTTTCAATCACCATAAAGTTTTAATCGCACTTTGCTTGTAGTTAGTATTCTGACCTTCTGTGTTTCAGTCTTGACTGGTCTGGAGAGGCACAGGTCCTCGTTGGTGTAGAGGGCGTTGAGGTCGATGCCCAGGTGCGGTGCCACGTCCAGTCCAAGCTTGGCGTTCAGCTGCTGACGTTGTCTGCTAATGCGATCTTTTAAATCTATGAAACAGTAGACACAATGAATAACGAGAATCTCTTATCTATTAGACAAGTCCGTCTGTCTGTGGTGCTGTTACAGCGGCCAAACCGTAAGAGATAGATAAAGAGAATATTTAAGTTATAAGTTAAGAATAGTCTGATAAGACTACAAACCGGATTTGAGTAACGTAGCACTTCCGGTTTTCGAGAAATCAGGTTTTGGTGAACATTTGGTTCACTGGTTTGCTAGTTCATTTTTAATTTTAGCACCACCCAGGGCTGTCGCGTTTATGAACTTGTTAGCAGTAGATATTTCATGCTCTACAGGTTAGAAGAATAGACTGCTGTCAAGTTTGCAAATAGCAAATACGTAAAGCTTATTTGTACCGTTTTGTTTTCAGACAAGACTTTTTTGCCCATTGGCTCACTAAAAGTGACAAGACAACCTATAAAAAAAAACGACGGGTTGCACTCCGGGAGTTCCGGCAGAAGTATGCCGGTACATGAATCACATTTAAACGCACCTAGCGACATCTATTGTAAAAGCTGCCACCTGGACGTCTTAGATAGGGACTTATTAATATAATACGATAAAATAAAATATTACTATGTTTCGACCAATATATTGAAAGTCAACAACCTTTCCAATTTTATTGTTTTCGTCTTACGCCACGTGTCCTGGCGCGAGTTTAACATTCTTTACCCATACAAAAAAAGTGAACAACGCCGCAAAAGAAGTTTTCACTTCAAAATTTTAAAAGGAATCACGTAATTTTTTGTATAGATCGGATAACAGTTGACATCACAGACGAAGGACCGTCCGAAGTTAGCCGTATATTTGTACGGAAGACAATATTGTACAAGTATCTTAAAACTGAAAAAGAATGTGAAGATGTTACCTGCAACACAGAGCGCCTCCTCTTCCATGTCGTACTCGTTGCCCTCGGAGCCCATGAGGCTGGCGCCGTCCTGCAGCACGCGCTCCAGGTCGAAGGTCTCGCACCGCAGCCGCGTGCCATCCTCCGGCTCGTATTTCTCCTCTGATCACAACAATAGCACAACATAAACTCCGGAACATAATATGAGGAGTTACAATAGTGAAACTGCTAATCTTAATATATATAAATCTCGTGTCACAATGTTTGTCCTCAATGGACTCCTAAACCACTGAACCGATTATAATAAAATTCGCACATCATGTGCAGTTCGATCCAACTTGAGAGATAGGATAGTTTAAATCTCAAATTATAGTCGCAATTTTAATTTATTGCAAATTATTACTTTTGGGCGGTACGAAGTTCGCCGAGTCAGCTAGTATCTATATATATAAAACCCAAAGGTGATTGGCTGACAAAGTGATCTATCAACGCACAGCCCAAACCACTGGACGGATCGGGCTGAAATTTGGCATGCAGATAATGTTATGACGTAGGCATCCGATAAGAAAGGATTTTGATCAATTCTACCCCCAAGGGGATAAAATAGGGAATGAAAGTTTGTATGAAACTGAGCCGATCGGGCTGAGACTTTGCATGCAGGTATAAGAAGAATCATAGATGAATGTCATTGTGTATAATACAAGCCTGAGAACAAAAACTGAAGTCTACACTTCAGCTCTACACCGAAGCGAAGCGAGGGCGAGCCGCTAGTCCTCAATAATAGAAGTATAGAAGGAAAGCTAATTTTCATACAATTAACTTGGCTATATCGACCTGTCTGACACAAACTTGAGATTTCGGAACTTTTCAGGTTCTGTGGACCTTACCCCGGTTGGGTAACAATAACTAACGTATTTTTATACACATGAGCGGATAGTGAATACATAGCCTAAAATAATGTCGTTATGTCGCTTTCCGCTTCTGTCTGTATGTCCGCTAACTAGGAATAAATTTCAATTGAAGATTTGCCGTTTTTTTCCTCGTAGGTATATTATAAAGCACTATGTGTTCCTCGAAAGAAAGTGCTATTCCCAACTCGGGCGTATAAAGGCACTTGGCTGCGCCTCCGGGGTCAAACTGCACCCTCGTTGGTCGGTCAACAATCGGTCACTTTCTCCTCTCGGTGAAACATATCTATTTCGCACCCGTTTTCACAATTATTTAAATCTTTATATATATAATTCTTCTGTGAGTGTGTATGTCACTGAACTTCTCTTAAACGACTGGACCGATTTTGATTAAATTTTTTGTGTGTGTTCAAGGGGATCTGAGAATGGTTTAGATTCACAATTTTGTCCACTGGACAATGTTTTTTTAATTATTTTTTTTTATGGCGGTACGAAGTTCGCTGGGTCAGCTAGTATTTTAATATAATACATGTCAGAGAACAAAATGTAGATAAGTCTTCACTGAAGTGAAAGGGAGGTCACTAGTCTTGTATAAAATCGGAAATAAATGGCTAAATAAATATCGCTAACTCTATGAAGAGTAATCGCAAAAGCCATGAAGTGACTACTTAAGACTGTATGATGGAATGAAATAAATAATAAATAAATAAATAAATATTTCCAACACTCACACCAATTAGCCTAGCCCCAAAGTAAGCACTGTAAGGCTTGTGTTATGGGATGCTAGGGTAACGGATAGAATACATATACGGTACATATATAAGTATATTTATATAGAAATACATATTTAACATCCATGACTGGAGTACAAATGCTCATATTCATCACACAAACATCTGCCCCCACCAGGATTCGAACCCGGGACCTCCCGAGTCGGCGACACCATGAAACCCGGCGTACAAACCACTCGACCACGGAGGTCGTCAAAATTTATACTTTATGTAAATTGAATTATTGAAAGCTCCTTTGAATCGTCCAATATTTTTTCCTACCACCCATCTTTTAGCTGATGAGAAGAATGGGTGCAAGAAGCTCATCAGCAATTAACAGAAGTATCAACATTTACAGAAAATCATCGTTCGATGTGTGTACCAGAGAGACGACGGAATTTTATAATCGCCTATGATTTAAATCTAGTGTGCATGCATTGTCCAATTAAAATAGCGGCATTCTCTATACAAATTATAATTGCGTATTCGTCATAAATCATTTAAAATATATTGTGGGTTTATCCGCTTGCGTTAAAACTTCTCAAGAAGCACTGTTCCAGTTTAGATAACAATTAACGCTCTTAAGGAAAAAAAACATACTTTTTCGTTCTCTTTCAACTTTTCTAACAGCTTAGTGAAATGTAGACAACAATACAATGGAATTCATCAATGCAAGGATATCCTGTTTAGCACAGAGCGACCTCTAATACCAACGTGGTTTTGTATCTTGTAACGTTGTATTGGAACAGTTGCTCGGTCGACTCCGGTGGCATTACTTTAAGCAAATGTGACCTCTGTTAACGTCGACGGTTCAATTGTGAGGTGTAATTGACGCCAATTTAGATAATATAGGGTTTCCAGTAGCAAAATTAACGTGACTAACGTCATTAATACATTTTATTTTTTATTTGTTTATTTAAACTTTATTGCAACATAACACAGCAAATGGCGGACATAATGCCATAAGGCATTCTCTACCAGTCGACCAGTAAGAGCATGAGAAAAACTAATATGACGGGGGCGCAATAAAGACAAATGAAAGATAAACCAATGATACAAATACTCTTAACAGAATACACACATATAATACACACATACATACATACACACACATATATCATATACATACATAAGTATACGATAATGTCAGTCATATATGAGAACGCTGTTTAATGCTATTAAGAAAGTGCTCACGAACCAATCCCCTAAATGCAAGTTATAGCATGTAACGAGAGTATTATACTTAATCCAAACTTTTTATTGCGTCCTATGTTGGAGCCAGGGATTAAGGACGGATTTAAAGTAGGGCAGGCGAATCTTTGGCCCAGAAGGCCACGCAACAGAGATAAAAAAAATCGAAGGATCATAGGAAGGAGGGGATCTGGTGAGGATAGCGGACGGTGGACAGGGTGGACTGCTGTCTGCATTGCACAGTCTCCCCCATCGAGGGGGGATGCTTTGGGTGCTTCCGAGCATCCCCCTGACCCCCTGAGGAACCCCTGCTGGGGGCAACATGAAGACAAGAGTTACCAGCATCCCACGACACCTGTTCCGGCAGGAGAGGAAGCACTGTTGGGTTTTTAGTGGGTACCCCCCCCCCCCTCTCGTCCGGAGCAGCCGCTGAATCAGTCCTATGGGCTGGCTGAGACGGTGGGCGGGATTTGGGGGGGGGGGGAGGAATCCCGCATAACCCCGTCTCTCACCCAGGGGCGGGGCATGCGTAACGCATTTTCCCAACATTAAAAAAAGGAGGGAGGGAATGTAAATCGTAAGTGACCAGCAATTCGTTGCACCAGGGCCTCCACATTTATAAAACAAGCCTTGGGTGGACCTATAAAAATGCGATAATGAAGAAATATTGGATTAACTTGACTACAGAATGATGGCATCTGATTGCAGCCTTATTTGTAAGATGAACAAGATAAGAAATAATAATAATAATAAATATTTCCAACACTTACACCAATTAGCCTTTTTTTTTTTGTGACGAGGGGAAATGCAGTTACGCACCATACCGTGACGCTGACTATGCGCACGGCGTGTGTGGGACTCGCCGGCACGGGAAACAGTGCCGACCCTACTCAAGCAGGACCAGTGCGGAAGGCCACACTGATCCTACTCCACTAAAACCCCCCGGTACCCTCCTACGCCCATATGGGGGCGTCTCAGGATCGACGCACCTTAGCGTGCGCCACTTCACTGGGACGCCCCCGGAACACCAATTAGCCTAGCCCCAAAGTAAGTACTGTAAAACTTATGTTATGGGATACTAGGGTAACGGATAGAATACATATACAGTACATATATTACTATATTTATATAGAAATACCTAATAAACATCCATGCCTGGAGTACATATGCTCGTATTCATCACACAAACATTTGCCCCCACCGGGATTCGAACCCGGGACCTCTCGTGTCGGCGACACCATGAAACCCGGCGTACAAACCACTAGGTCACGGAGGTCGTCAAGATAAGAATTAAGACAAGCAATTCGTATATAATAATCTGGTATCACGAGTTTATTTATATTCTTCGGTGGCTGCGTACCATCAGGCAAGTCATGTGATTGTTTGCCACCCTTATTACATAAAGAAAAATATCTGCAACCTATCGGCTCGAAGAAAATATGCGAGTAGGTATTCGACAACTTTATGAAATTATTTACATTTGATAAAACTAGTTTTAACGGGTTAATGCACGAAACTTTATTTGTTTATTGACGTTTCGCAGCCTTTTCAGGTCTGCATCGTCAGAATAATGATTTTTATTTAATTTTGTCGAGCTACCGTCGAAAGACTTTTATTGAGCGTTCGGTTATATCATTGGAATATTTGAAAAAAAAAATCGTGCATTAACCCGTTAAAACTAGTTTTATTTAATGAGTGATGTGCGCGAAAACCTAAGAAACAAATATATTTACATTTGAATAAAATAATGAATGTTTGTTATAGGCATCTGTATAAGTAAGAAACAGCTGTAAGGTCACCAGCTGACTACTTAAAGTCGCTCCGTATCTGGGTCACGCAATCACTGGGCGAATACAGCTATTTTACTAGGGGCAATTTTGATTGAGAAAGGTATTGGCTGTGTGGCAACGAGCTTTGGAGCTTTGGCACTGGAGGCCTCACAACAGAGCTAAAAAATTTCGAAGGATCATCAACCAGGAGGGAGGGGATCTAGTATCTAGTGAGGCTAGCGGACGGGGGACCAGTCTTCCCCGTCGAGGGGGGATGCCTTGGGTGCGTGGGTTGGGGGCCGTTCAAGTATTACGTAAGCAGATTTATTACAATTATTTACCCCCTCCTCCCCCTTGTCAGCAAAAGTAAGCAAAGCTCTTACCCCCGCCCTCCCGTGCTTACGTAAACATTGGTATCTATATGAATTTTTCCTTTAATGTATTCTGTTTTTTTTTGTATTGATTCATGAACTTTCATGAGCTTTATAAGCAGCAGTACTTAAATAGGATCTAACTATCTTTAT